ACATATGGAGTGGGGGGGACCAGCAGAGACAAGCAGGCTTGTATAAAAGCAACATGGCATGGAATTCATTGTGCCTGGGTGCAGGCAGGCAGAGAGCGTGATAAGACCATCTGCCCTGCACAATGAGAGGAGTGTGCCTTCTATACGGATGGGAGAAGACAGGGAACTTTAGGTGGGAAGATCCCAATAAACATTTGCGGTCAAAGTTCTCGGGCAGTCTTGAACCTCAGCAGGAAGAGTCCTTGAAGTGTTTGGTGTAAATTTTTGGGTGTCTCCAGAGGGTTTTGGGTGCTGAGCTGAGTCCCCTGCAGGGAGTAGTGCTCCTGCTGGAAGGCAGGCTGGGGGCTGGGAGACTCAGGTCCAATTCGAACCTCACATTTTCCATTTACAGTAATGTTTACCACTGATTTTGCAGTTGGTGATAATAATTGCTGTATTTAAATTTTACATATTTTATTTTATTAGTTTATTAATACATGTGTTCAGTACATGTTTACATTCTTTGTGGAAAGTTGGTACATGTACATAACACATCTGAAGTCTTTCATCCCCTTTCCCTTCTCCTCTTCATTTCTCCCATCCTTGATACCCTTTGTTTTTTCTTTTTGTATATATTTGTAATACATAATGTGTACATAATTTGTATGGAGTTAATCCATGTGCATAACACACACCAATTCCTTTTCTTAGTACCTCTTTTATCCCCTTTTCTTCATCTCCCGCCTCCACCCTCCATCTCTTTATCCCTATCCCCTTTGAGAAAGGTCTACCTCCTTACTCCCTATTATCTATATTTTGCTCTTTATTTACTTTTTTGTTTCCCATATGTGAGAAACCATATATATTTCCCATATATGAAAAAACCATGCAATATTTCACCCTGTGTGTCTGATTTATCTCATGTAACATTAAGGTCTCAAAGTGTATCCACTTTCCTACAAATGACTCAGATTTATCTTTATGGCAGAGTAGTATTTCATTGTGTGTAAATACTACATTTTCTTTATCCATCATCTGTTGATGGATATTGTCATCAATGGTGCATGAGAAACCACCCAGACACAGGCTCTATGAGAAACCACCCAGACAGACTGTTTTTTTTTTTATTATTTTTTATTTTAAGGAGTAAAACAAGGATAACATAATAATAGGGGGGACTTAGCATATTACAGACAAAATGGTAGGAAATTATCAATGGTTATTGTTTTACATATTATTATCTACAAAATA